AGGTAGCTTTTACGCTTACGCAGGCGAATTCGAGCTCTTCTTTTGTTAAAGCTAGCCACTCCCATCTACTATCTCCTTTGTAGGTATTTAATAGTGGGGCTAGAGTAGATAGTGGTGGGGGGAAGAGATCTTCTCTAAAGGCTTGGCATTTCTCTCTAAAGGTCTCCTTGCCTTTAATAGCAGGTATCCTTATAGATAGGTTGTCTTTTGTGTAGGCCATAGCTTTAAATATCTCTTTTAGCGTCTCCTTTTGTAGGAAGGTTTCCTAGTGGTTAAGCTTTGCTTTTTTAATAGCTTTTAGATATCTGTATTTTGCAATAAGATACTCTTTTTTCCACTAGTTAATTTAGCTGTTGTCCTCTCTACTAGCTTCTCTTTTAAGGGCTCGAAAAGCTCTGTTTTAATCCAACTTTAGGTTATCTAGCTCACTAGTCCACTAAGGTTTTGGCTTTGGTTTCTGGCTAACTAGTGGGGTGGATTCTTTTAGAGCTGTTTGTACTACTATTGTAATATCTTCTCCTAGTTTCTCTAGTTTCTCTACTAGGGAGTTATCCTGACCTAATAGGATCTTTCTTGATAAATAGCTAGAGGTGTGGGGTAGGTCTAGTAGTTGTGCCTCTAGCTATTGGTTGTTGACTTCTTCATTAAGTGTACTATTGAAGATGTCCTAGTTAGTCTTTTTAATATTAAATCTCTTTAGCTAGCTAGGTAGCTAGCCTAGGCTTTCAATACTAAAAAGGATTGCGTGGTGGTCTAATCCAACTCCTAGTATAGTTTGCTAGTCCTGGATTTTAGCAGCTATATTATTAGTTGTAAAAGTAAGATCTAGTACGCTTTCTTGCCGCATATTTACTTGAAAAAAGGTGCCAGTCCCTAGAGTATTTAGAAGAGAAAGGTTTTGGTTGTCTACCCACTCTACTAGATCCTCTGCTTCTTGGTTTAGGTTTTTATTCTGTAGGCTCCATCTAGGGTGGTAGGTGTTAAAGTCCCCTAGTATAATTGAGGAGGGTTCTAGAGTCTCTTTAAGTAGGCGCCTTTAGATTATTGTCTTGTTAAGCCTTTCTTTTAGGCTTTTTTCGTTATAAATGTTATACATATAGATCTTAGTTAAAGAGGAGAGTATTGTAATAGCTTGTAAATCGTTGTCGTTACTAATATATAGGTTAACCTCTACATCTAGGTCTTTTTTAATATAGAAGAGCGTTCTTGGCCTTAACCCCTTATAAGTAGGGAGTATTTGAGTAAAGTCTTGGTGGGCGATTGATCTAGTATTCTCGTAGGTATGTCCCTTTAGTAGCCAGGGTTCCTGTATAGCGATAATCTTGGCGTTTACTTAAATAGCTAGATTTAGAGCGCTCTCTGTAGTAGGGCTACTTTTATTAACATTTATTTGTAGGACTTTTAACATTCTAGTTAGAAGAGGTAGTAGTCCTAGACGTCCTAGCTTACAGGATTTTGTAGTTTTGGCTGTTAGCTGCGTGGGGCTTGCTGCAGTTTACACACTTAAAGATAGTGTAAACGCAAGGCTTGCCTCTACTTAAACAAGAATTACACTTATAGAGGCTAGTGTAGTGGGCTTCGCTGTAGATTTGGCAGGCTACTTTAGAGCATTTAGCCTCTAGGTGCCCAAAACCTTGGCATTTAGAGCACTATTTAGAGTTATTAATAACTCTTAGTTTCTCTGCTCTAAGGCTTTGCCCTAGAATATAGAGCTTTCTTCTAATAGCTCTTTGGGCTTCTTATTCTGTAGCAAAAGCTACGCAGGCGGATCTAAAGTTTTGGTTTCCTCTTTTGGATTCTAGTGTTAGCTAGAAGGGGTTGCCTACTACCTTTAGGCCTTTATTGAAGATTTCAATTTCCTCCTTTAGGACCTCTAGGCTATGGTTTGTTAGTAGTTTATGGATAACTACTTTGAACTAAGGGGTGATTAGTTAGGCTGCTTTGAACTCTGTGATATCCTTCTCGATCTCTTGGTTTTCTAGAAGGTATTTTGCTAAAAAAGCTAGGGTGGTAGTAACTATTTTATTGCCTTTTGCTAAAGGTGTGACTAAGGCTACTACTAGGGATTGTACTCCTCCCTTTATTGTAAAGGCTTTGTTAAAGGCGTTTCTAATTTTTAGAGCGTCGAATGCAGTAGGTATATTGCTAACTAGAACAATTTAGCGATCTAATAGGCTAGTAGTCTTTTTTTAGTTGTCTTTTTAGGTGTTTTTTCTATATATTTTTAGTTTTGTTTTTTTCAGATATATGTCCAAGGTTGTTCTTAATTACTAGCTACTACTGTTGCGTAGGAGCTAGGGGGCTGAGCTTGAGGTTAGGTGGGCGGGGTATTTGGTTTTTTAAGGCGTCTAACTTTCTCTCTTAGTTCTTTAAAGACGTTAGATAGAGAGGAGATTTAGTCTCCTAGAATTGTAGAGTTTTTCTTGTTTACTCTGCTATTCTCTGTAAAGTCTCTAAAGACTTCTACAAGGTCTAGTAAACTAGTTTGCCTAGTAGTGTTGTTTTTAGCTAGGTTAGCTACTTGGATTACTAGGTTTCTAGCAATCTCTAAGGCCTCCTTAATAGAGGTTGCCTTTGGTGTTTTCCCTACTGTAGGGTATCTTGGCACTGCTCCAATAAATGGAGAAAAATTACTCCTTGTCCTAGTATGGGTAGGCCTAGGCGGTTCTTCTAGTTGCCTGTTAGGGCAAGGCGTAGAGGCCTCCTTAGCTATCTCAATTTCTGGATTATTATCCATTAGTCGTTTGCTTGTGCCTCTAAGGTCCTTTAAGGCTAGTCTTTTTTTGTTATTTTTATTATTTTGATATGTCTGTGTTTCTTGCTAAATTTAAGCTTTAATAAGCTCCTGCGTTCCTATTAGCCCCTCTAGTCTTAGCATTAGAGCCTAAGCTCTGTAAGAAAATTCTCACAGGCGTGAGATAACGAAGGAAGGCCTCCTTCTTCTCCCTACTGCGCGCTAGCGCCTTAGCTGCAGGTGTTGAAAGTGCTATTAGTCGATTCCTCGTGGTCGGTTCTCCTAGATAGCGTGCTTTCCTAGCGGTTTCCAGAAAACTCGAAGTTGAGCTAGTGATTTAGTCGCAGTGAATTTTGTAGGAGACTGGAGGGACAATTTTCGGTAACGTGTTTTATCAGTAAGCGGCCCACATCAGTAAGTGGCCCACCCCACCAAACCTGACGCGATACTCTCCACAACCACCACTATGCCGCGACAACAACGCTCTGTACAGACTTCTCGTGAAGGTAGAGTTCTTCTAGCATCTCGCGCGCTTCAAGAAAAACGTGTTGTAAGCCAGCGCCAAGCTGCTATGCTATACGACGCTCCACGAACAACGCTCCGACGACGCCTCCGCGGTACCAAGCCACGATCAGAGACAGCCTCCGTCAATCGCAAGCTATCAGCTGTCGAAGAGCAGTCTCTTGTTCAATGGATCATAGAGCTAGATCGACGAGGCTTTCCGCCCCATATTATCGACGTGCGACGGATGGCAGACGCTCTACTCGCTGCGCGTGGCCAAGATCCACCTCCACAGCCTATTGGCAGATGCTGGGTGTCGCGCTTTATCCAGAGCCAGCCAGAGCTTCAGACAAGTGGACTAGACGA